TGGTAAAATACATAATAAGACATTAATTAATTGATGTTATTTAATTTACATTAATTAAACTAAAATTTATTAAGTAGTTAATTAATATCAGGGAAGTATGCAAATAAATATCAGCAACAAGACATATGTTGTTGAAAACTACGGAATGTGCTATTCCTAAACTTTCAGTATCGTGACTCTTGTTGTTGAAAATAAGAAAGGAAAACCACATTCTGAAAACCACTATTTCTCTTAAACTTTCAGCAACATGAGCCACGTTGCTGAAACTATATTTTTAGCAACGTGGCTTTTGTTGTTGAAAATGGTTGAATAAACTCCACCCTCGGTCATTGGAATCTGACAAGAATATTACCAACATAAATCACGTTGCTGAAAGTGTTCTTTTAGCAACAAAGGGTATGTTGCTGATGTATCAGCAACATACCCTTTGTTGCTAATGTATCAGCTATCAAGGCTTTTTTAACAAAATTTTCAACAACAAAAGTTATGTTGCTAAAAGGCTTTTACCTACATTGCAAGTATTTTCAGCAACAATGCAAGCACTTTCAACAACATGGGAGCATATTGCTAAAGGTTGAAATTTTAGTAGCGTTTCTTGACTCTAACAATATTAATAGTGACTATATAATTTTTTTTTGAATATTTAAGATGAAACTCGAACTCTACATTATCAAACAAACGTAAAACATCTTAAACAAAAAGAAAAGTGACAATTAGACTAAAACATTCTTACAGTGACTATAACTTTAGTGTTGAAAAAGAACAAGATTGTAATATTAAATCAATTATATTTATATTAAAATTTAAATAAAATTTAATGCGTCAGTAAAAATGATTATCTATATAAATTATAATAACTATAGAGAATGGGTCTCACCCACCTATATGTCAGTCGTGTTAAAACGTCCCTGGCCCAAAATGTCAATCACAGTATTGATTAAGGTTGGACAAAGAGGTAACATTTTATAACTTTACAAGTAATAGTTGTCACACTCATGCAAGCTGGCCTCCGGACCGTTAAATCAATTACAGTAGATGTCATGATCTTACAGTAGACCTTTTCATAAATGATGGGTCCGAAAATTCAAATCACTCACTCTCAATCTCAAACTAATAATAACACCCATATAAATCTCAAAAAGAGAAGAATATTCGAATCAATAAAAGTTTTCTTGTGTTAATATTTATTAATTTAACATTTTTAATTAAAAATTAAAAATTTTAA